AGCTCCACTTCCGGCTTTTTTTCTTTTTGCTTATGTGGTGCTGAGGAATCGAACCCAGGGCCTCATGCATGCAAGGCAAGCACTCTGCCACTGAGCCACCTTCCCAGCCCTTGCTTCCGTTTTCTAAGTCTTGGCAAGATGAAGTACTTTGGATGGCACGTGGGGACAGCTGTGCCTAAGCCCTGGTCCTTGCCATTTGTTCATCCTGGCTTCCTACTCTCTGGGCCCGCACGGCCTCCCTTCGACCCCCGTTAAGAATGACCAGACTCTTTTGTTGTTGGTGGTGGTCGTGGGGCTTGAGCTCAGGGCCTGGGCACTGTTCCTGAGCTCTGTTTGCTCTAGGGCTCAAGACTCTACCACTTTGAGCCACAGCACCACTTCCGGTTTTCTGGTGGGTTCATTGGAGATACCATGGACTTCCCTGCTCAGGTTGGCTTCCAACCATGATCCTCAGATCTCAGTGAGGATTACAGGCATGAGCCACAGGCTGAATGACCAGCTTTTTTGTCAGGGCTTAGGGCTGACTTCAGGGTAGGGACAGGATGCTCAGGTATCCTGAGATTTCTTGTCTGTTCCGGCTTGTCTACCTGTACCACACCAGAGAAGCTCTATTTCCACACATCGTTCCTAGATGGTTTAATCGATCTGCCAACAAGTATTTATTGGTTCCCCAGCCAAGCAGAGCAGCCTGGCAGCCGCCCAAGGCTTCCGGTGTGGACGAAGGCCAGAGAGAACACTCCACCAGCACGGCTCCAAGGACACCCTCTCCTTGTCCCAGCCCTCCTCCCACGCCGCCCAGTGGCTCCACTAGCCCCGCATGTCCTTCCAGCCTCCGGGAGGTCTGGATTTGACTTCTCCATCATCTGGCCTCTGTCTCCCCAGTAGCTGAAATCTAAAGTGGGAGCCATGGCCCCCGGCTATCTGGTCAAGGAATTATTAGATTATATTATAGACATCGCTCTGCATCTTGGCAGCTGTCTAAATACCAGTTAATGCGGCGTACCCTCATGTGCTAATTAACAATGGTGTGTATTTATGATATGGGCATTTTGTAATTTAATTTTTCAGATTACTATTTTTGGAATTCTTTTAAAAATGTGTGTGTGTGTGTGTGTGTGTGTGTGTGTGTTGGTGCCAGTATTGGGGCCTCCTTCTTTCTCTTGGCTTTTTCCGCTCAAGGTGAGTGCTGTGTCATTTGAGCCACACCTCTTCTACCAGCTCTTCGTTGGTTAGCTGGGGATAAGAGACCCATGGACTGTTGTGCCGAAGCTAGCTTCCAACCATGATCCTTGGATCTCGGCCTCTTGAGTAGCTAGGATTACAGGTG